AGGTAAGTAAAAAAGATAGAGCCAGGAATCTATTCTTTTTCTCTGAAAAGAACAGAGCTCAACCAAAAAACTAAAATGGCGTCCCCGTAGTAACCAGGCTGGGAATGGTGAAGGAAAACCCACCTGCTCATGAATATGGAAAGAAGGGTCTGTGATCCTTGTCATAAACAGGAAAACTTTTTTTATTTAGTCAAAGAAATGATGACTTATAAGCTCCTGGAATGCATGGCAATTAGAAATAGAGAAAAGCAGAAGCACCAACATCATGCTTGACTCTTCCAGGTCTAAAGGAGCTGTCTTAGACAAACACTGCAGCAAGGAGAAGGGATTACATTAATGCTAAGCACTGTAAATCAAGCCACTGATTGTAAAGATGTGCACACAGACACACACACACACACACACCCACCATCTTTCCTGGTACAACTAATAGGTTCCTCCAATAAAGGCTTCAGAATTTCTGCAGGGAATTTAAAATAAAAACCAGAACATGGGCACAGTGGCACATGCCTGTAGTCCCAGCTTCTCGGGAAGCTGAGGTGAGTGGATCATTTGAGCCCAGGAGTTTGAATCCAGCCTGGGTGACACAGTGAGACCCTGTCTCTTAACAAAACATAACCAAAACAACAACAAAAAACCCAGAGGAATTGCCTCAAGATTGAGGTGAGTAAAGGTCTAAGGCTTTCTGATGAATTGGCTCCCACCGTAATTTCTTACCAAGGAATTGAGCCAAAGCTAAACATCATTGGAATTGTTAAACTTGTGGACGCTGCTGAAGTAGTTATCGATCCAGATGCCCACCACTTCTGAATCAGAAACATATCTTGTTAAGCAGCTCAAGTCATAACTCTTGGTGGCACGGAATACATCACAACCATTTCAGATGAAACCTCAGAACAAGTGACAAGATGGGCTGCTGCACTAGAAGGTTATAGGAAAGAACAGGAATGCTTTGAGATACCTTATGATCCCATATAGTGGTCCACAGACCAAGTCCTGCATTAGGTGGTTTGGATAATGAAAGAATTCAGCATGACCAATACAGACCTCACCACACTCAACATTTCTGGAAGAATATTATGTAGTCTCAACCAAGAAGATCTTTTTCAGCAGGTCCCTTGGTGAGAAATTCTTTGGAGCCATCCGAGCTTCTTCAAAAATATGTATTGGCAAGCCAAGAACAGCACATGAATAAAATAGTTACAATTGATCAACCTGTGCAAATTATTCCAGCATCAGTGCAGTCTGCTACACCAAGTACCATTAAAGTTATAAATAGTAGTGCAAAGGCAGCTAAAGTACAAAGAGCTCTAAGGATCTCAGGAGAAGATAGAAGCTCACTTGGGAACAGAACAGGAAACAATGGCCAAATCCAACTATGGCATTTTTTGCTAGAACTTCTTATTGACAAGAATGCTTGAGACCATTTGGTCACAAAATGTGAACAGAAGAAACTCACCATGGAATTGACCAGCCAGTCACAGCAGTAGCCCTGGCTACTGCTTCTCTGCAAATGGAAAAGGATAATTGAGCCCCTTGAGGACCTTCTGGGATTCCAAGGTCTTTCTTAAACATTTAGAGCAAGTATGGCTTTTACCTTTATTACCAAATATGAATCTTATTTCTAGCCTGTACAATCTAAAGCATTTTTTTTTAATATTTCACACTCTTGTGAATTTGGAGCTTTTTACTTTAAGCATATATTTTAAAATATGTGTATGTTAAAGGATCACGACAATGTCTGAAGTGTGAAGGCAGGTTCATTGTGGGATAGTTATTAACAGTCAGTAAAGCTAAACTGGTCAGTATTAATGCCTAGGGCTAGGCTGAAAATTAAAAATGAAGTATCTCCAAGAAAGTCTGGCTTAACTATTTTTGAAAATATAACTGTTTCTCCTCTCTGCTGTTTTAGGTGTTGCTTTACATAGAACCAGAAAATGGAATTTCTCAG